CTCCCTCCCTCCCTCCCTTCCTTCCTTCCTTCCTCTTTTTCTTTCTTTTATACAACTTTCCACCATGAGAGGCAAGACAAAGTGGGATGGAGCTTGCCTCTCTGCTTTGATACCCTCAGGCCTGCTAATCTCGGTATTTCTATCTCCTAGCTGCTGCTCCTATGTGGGACGCCGAGGAGGAGGCCCACAGGCCATATCCATTGGGAAAAACTGTGACAAGTTTGGCATTGTGGCTCATGAGCTGGGCCATGTGGTTGGGTTCTGGCATGAACACACTCGGCCGGACCGAGACCAGCATGTCACGATCATCAGAGAAAACATCCAGCCAGGTGAGGGATCTTGAGTGGAGTCTAGAAACCAGCAAAGTAGAACATCCCTAGGCTTGGGACAGTGAGAGGAGGGCCTGCTGGGAGATGTTTAAGGCTCATAGCTAACTGGAGGCAGTGACCCAACTTTGTAGGCACTTGTTATGAGCCCTGCCACCTGTGGCATTCCTGAGAACACATCTGCTGAAGCTTGTGGCTTACAACAGAATAGAAAGCATGATTCTTAATGTTGTAAAGGAAAATGAAATCCAGCCCAGGTTCCTAAGCAGAGTCAGGACTGATTTGCCAAAAGATGGGGTTCTCCAAGCAGTTTTCATGAGTCACTTTTGCCATGCAATATGGCCTTTTGAAACTGCAGTGCAATTAAGATACATATGCATATGAAAACAGTACCCTGCTTGGAAGCATTCTGCCCCAAGGCAGACAGCACACACAGATCAAACATGTATGCATCTTTTCATGTCTAATAAGTTGGTGTAAAAGTTTGTATTGGAGCCTGGTGGGGTAGTACTTACTTTAGCTTATAAGCCATGCACTAGGGAAGTTGAGGCAGGAGGATCACAAGTTGGAGGCCAGCCTGGACTATGAGTGTATTCAAATCCATCTCAGTCAACCAGTGACTCTTGTCTCAAAAACAAAGAAACACAAACAAAAAAACTACTACCTAAAATTGATATTGAACATGAAAGTAGCTAGCTGATTTATAGTTGCCTTAAATCTGCCTTGTGCACCTATGTGTACATGTTGTGTTCACATGTTTGTGGCATGTGGAGATCAGAGAACAACTTTGGGTGCTGTTTCTCGGGGCCTTTCCACATTAGTTTTTTGAGGCAAGAGTTCTCATTAACCTTGAGTTTGCCAAGAAGGCCAGTAAGCTCGAGGGATCCATCCATTTCTGCTCCCAAGGCTAAAGTTACAATCAGGTACCACCAAGCCAGTTTTATTACGTGGGCTTGGGGAACTGAACTCAAGCCAAGCACATCCTCAGCCAAGCTCCCCAGATAGCTTTAAGACTACTTCAGAGGACCCAAGCCATACACATTTGGGATTTGACCTTCTGATTTATTTTCTTCAAATTGCAAGATCAGGATTTTGGAGGTTTTTCCTTTTAAACTAAATATTTTGGACAAGCAGATTGAGTGCTAATCTATCTTCAAGCAGAGTTGGAAGATTCAAGTGGTGTTTGGGGAGGGGTATTGTGTAGTGGGACAGAGAGAACACAGGCTTGCCCAATGTTTCAAATTTCTAGTCCATTACATACAGTCACCATAAGCCTGCAAGTCCTGTTATCTGGCCACTCAGACAACAGGAGCTTCCAGAAGTTGCCTGGGCCCTCCTCCTCCTCCTCAGTTTCCTTTTGGATACTGCCTTATTTCCATATTTCTTAACAGAGTATTGTGTTATAGGTCAGGAGTATAATTTCTTAAAAATGGAAGCCGGTGAGGTGAGCTCTTTGGGAGAGACTTACGACTTCGACAGCATCATGCACTATGCCCGGAACACCTTCTCAAGGTCGGAACCTTTGCTGTCCCACCCCCAGTCTGTTTTTATTGCACTTGCCTGAGGCTTGGGTCTGAGGAGTTCTGAGGTCTGTGGAGAGTGAGCAGGTCTCGGCATGCTCCTTCTATGGCTGGCCTGTCCATCCTTGAAATACAGTGGCCTCTGGGCTGCAGTGAAATACAATCTAATCATGTTCTTGCTAATAAGATTGAGTCCCGTTGTGAGGCTGGCGTTCCATCATGCCCTCATGTCACAAGGAGCAAACTGGAAAAGAGAAATTATGGAGAGGTCATCTGGGAGAATAACCTAGAGGCTTTTTGTAAAATTCCAGTTGGGTAGGGGCATTTCTAACACACATCCTAAACAAATTGCAAAGTGCTTGCCATTGTCCTAGAAAAGGCTCAGTTTATTGGAAGCTAGGCTGTGTCAGAGATGGAAAGGCTGTAAATCATGGGTTCTTTTCAGAGACAAAGAAAACTAAGCTCCAGACATCTTGGGAGATCACAGGTACCTAGATCAGAGTGAGAACAAGGACGAAGGATCCCCACTTTCAGGTCTTGGGGAATAGGTGTTACTCACAAGAGAAAGGAGGAGTTGTTGTTTACCTCAGGCACCTTTGGGGTCTGTCCCATGTGTGGGACTTTACATGGAGATGTTAAGTATTCTCCATATGGCTCCCATGGCTAGGCCATGTAAGTGTTGTGTGCACAGAAGAGCATCCCCACTAGTCCCAGCTGGGAGGTCTTCCCAGCCCTTAAAGGAATCACTTCAAAGTAAAAGGAGACACTATAAGTGATTTGCTGTCTCCCCCTTCTCCCACCATCCCCGACTACCACCCACATCCATGCTTGGTGTCCTCAGAGGCCAGAGAGGGCATTGAATCCTCTAAAACTAGAGTTATAGGCTGTTGTAAGCCATCATGTAGGTACTGAGAACCAAATCTGGGTCCTCTGAAAGATGAGCAAATTCTCTTAACTACTGAACTATCTCTCTAGCCCCCTAGCTAGCTTTCTTCTAACAGTCCAGGATCACCTTCCTAGGGAGTAGTTCTGCCCATGGACTGTACCTACCCACATCAATTAACAATCAACATAGTCCCTATATGCATGTTCAGCAACCAGTTTGATCTAGGTAATTCTCTCAGATGACTTGAGTCTATGTCAAGCTGACAGCTGAAGATAACTAGAAGAGGGAACAAGGCCCAGGAAGCCTATGGCGTGGTCAAGAGGAAAGCCTAATAGATGAGAGAGGTGGGTGGGAAAGCAGGTATTGGGGTTGGCCTGAGACCTAGCTTGGAAAGCATACAGGGAACAACTTAATGCTACCCATTAACCAGGGCTTATGTGCTGGTATGTAGAGACAGTATCAACATTGTCTAGGACACAGTGTTAAATTGGCCCAACTGAGAAGCTTGTGCCTTGGGTCTTATTTTGGTAGCTTCTGTAGCTATTCATATCATTTTATAATTTTTGGTTGTAAGCCTAGCTGTCTTAGTTAGGGCTTCTATTGCTGTGAAGAGACACCATGACCAGCTCTTATGAAGGAAAACATGTAATTATGGTAGCTTACATTTTCAGAGATTTAGTACCTTATCATCATGGTGCGGCATAGTGGCATGCAGGCAAATGGTTCTGGAGAAGTAGCTGAGAGTCCTACATCTTGTCTCTCAAGCAACAGAAAGAGGTCTGTCTCTTTGTGTGTGGCTTGAGCATATAGGAGACCTCAAAGCCCATCTCCACAGTGACACATTTTCTCCAACAAGACCATACTACCCCAAACAAGGCCACACATCCTAATGGTGCCACTCCTTTTGGGGGCCGTTTTCTTTCAAACCACCACACTAGCCTTTAACAGCTGAGTCATCTCTCTGTTTATCTGTCACATTCTTCCCTCCCCCAGTAGACTGTGAGCCTTGGACGTAGCACTGTCTTGTTCTCATCTAGTGTGTAGCATCCTGTTGGGTGCCTGACACATAATAGGTATCCAATAGATTCTTGCTAAGTTTTAAGTGAATGTATGAGGTCAAAGAGGCTTAGAGAACTGCATTGCAGAGGAATGGGTGAGGGAAATCCTGTCCATCATTCTTTCTAAGTCTTCACACATGCTCACAAATGTGGCAGATGCTCCTCTCCAGGAGGGAGACTGTAAGTCTCTCCTACGATGGTATGTAGAGCTGTAGGAACGAAGCCACCTTCCTCTTACTGGCTATGTGCTATCCACTGCACTACATCCTGGAGCCAGAGGCCAAGTAGAGGCTCATCCTGTTTTTCCTAACTTTCTTACTCTTTTCCTAACTATCTTTTCCCCTCCTGTGATCTCTAGCTCATAATCCCATTGCTTCGGCACTTCCTGAGGGAACCTTTTCTAACTCCAAAGTCAGCATGAGCTATCTTATCAGCACAGACCAGAGGAAATCTTTGGGCCAAACTCATGAAATAATCACACCTTATTTAGAGTGCCTAGGAGGGAGATTGGCAAGGAACAGCACTAGGGTGTGATGGGCAGCTAGTGCACAGCGGCTTCCCTGAGGCAAACTTCGGTTACTGCTACAATACCTATTGCTGCATAACTTCCCTGCCAAACTTAGGGTCTTAAAACCACAACTTACTGGGTTGTTGTTGTTTTACTCTAGGTCAGCCCAGCTCATTCTTCTCTGGTCTTGCCAGTCATTTGGCAGCTTAATTGGGCCGGGGAGTCCAAGCTGGCCAGTCACACATAGCCCATGACCCTCTTCCCATAACCTCTCACACTTCAGTATATTTGGCCAGGCTCTTCTCTGCTTGAGGACTCGGGGCTGTTGGAGGGCAGCCTGGGTAGCTGCAAGCTTCTAAAGGGCCAGGATCTAGAACCTACATGACATCAATTCTCTCACTCCTATCCATCAGAGTAACCAGGAGGCCAGAATCAGGTGAAACGAAGAAATACACACTGCGTCTTAATGGGAGAAATAGCAACTTTGCCTTTCAAAGGGATGTCTCTATTAAGAGACGAAGTTCATTATTTAACCATCTACCACAGGCCTCACAACCCTCCCATCCCGCACGTGTACACACACACACACACACACACACACACACGCACACGCACACACACACGCACACGCACACACACACACACACACACACACACAAATACGTGTTGCTGCAGGTGGATGCCTGCATTGCATTTGTGATGGTTTTCAGTGTGAAGTTTTAGAAGGCTATTTTATACCATGGGCTCTTATTGGTGGGCTTTTTTTTTCTTGGCATTGTCAGAGGCTTCTCTGCTTCCAACTGCAACTCGTTTCTCTTGGTCCTTTCTCCCCTGGGGCTGCACTGTACCTCTCCTTTTAGCTCATGAAAGAGCAGCCAATCGCCTGCAAAACACAGGCCTGTGGGATAAAGCCCTTCCTGCTGATGGGAAATGCAGTCTCTGAGTCTCTTTACGACCCGAGCTGTCTCCTTCCAGCCCTGTCCCCTCTGGTTTTATTGCCTTTCGTCTCCCTTTCCCCTTGGTGGGAGTGGTGTCCTTAGAAGTTTTGCTGGGCACAGGTCCAGCAGTCAAGGAAACAGTTCTCTGTTACAGGGATGTCTTTGTTTGGAAAACTCAGAGCTGACAATTTTATCCCCTAAGACATCTGTCAAACCTTCCCAGTTTAGCGTGAAGTCAATGCTGGGCACTGTCCACCCAGAAAGGTAAAGGAACATTGCTACAGTGCTACACACACACACAGGGAAGCCCTGAGAGTGGACATTCTCCAGAACTCAGTGACCTGTCAGTAACTCAGGGAATTGCATTGATGTCTTAGCACCAAAGACTGGGTGCGAGCCAGTGTTGAGCCTGCTGCTTTTGTCTGAAACCTCCCTTGTATCATGCCACCACTTACTGTGCACAAAAGCCTATTGCTCCTTGAGCACTGGGACACACTAGACAGAAATATGAAGATGGCTGGCAAAAGGTTTCAGGCCTGCCTAGGTGCTGGGCTAGCTCTCTTATAGCTCTGTCTGCACACCAAGTCATTCAGGGAGCCTAGTGACAATAGGCCTGGCTCCCAGGGTCTTATGAAGATGAAGTGACAGGAAGGGTCTGGCACACAGGGAGGCCCTAAGAAAAGTGGAGGAGGGAACGCACCATAAACATGCCAGGCCTACTGATGGCCTTGCCGACATCACCCAAGCCCAGGCTACTCCTTATATAGCATGCTCCTATTTGTTTTTTGCTGCAAAATTCTTCCTTTGGAGAGACTGTCACAGGGGGCCGTGTCCTTTGTTAGGGAAGAAATGTCTCTCTGTTGAGTAGCAGGTAACTGAATTCAGAATTTTAGTTGTCTTCGAAGGCATGATTTAGGATTTCAAACCTGGTGTGAGGAGAGGAGAACAGGGGTGCCACTGAGTTGCCTTGAGAGACTCTGGGAGGTAAGGACGAGAGTTTCTGAGAAAGTCAGTGCAGAGGTTAATCGTTGGGCAAAGGAGGCCGTAAGGCCCTCCGTGGACAATCTGGATTCTCTTGTGCTCATTGGAGAGAAAGTGTGCTGGGAGTCTGTCTGACTGAGAAAAACAAGCACTTCACAGCCAAAAAGATAACAAGGTGATGTAAGCAGAAAGAAATGGAGACATGTATCATCTAGTGTGGCAGAGAATTTAGGAGATAACAAAGCTGGGGTGGGGGTGGGAGAGAGAGAGAGACAGAGACAGACAGAGAGAGACAGAGAGAGAGAGAGAGACAGAAAGAGAGAGAGACAGAGAGAGAGAGAAGCTAATAGCTAAGCTGTATATGTTTTGGTTGATTCTTTTGGATGTAAGTAACTATTTTGTGAAGTTCTTTGAATAATAGTTCCTTGTTGTGTTTGCATAATTTAATTAAAGAAATGGGTGGAGCTTGTGCCACCCCCACCCTCCGCCAGTCTGTGAGGACAGAAAGGAAAAATCTAGTCTTGAGAAACTTACTTTTGGCAAAGGAGAAAAATATCACCAACACATTAAAAAAAAAAAGAAAAAAAGAAAATAATTAGTCAAGAGAACACAGCAACACTAGATGGGAGGGGTAGAAAGCATCCTGGAGGCTGTTTAAGAGGGAGGGACAGCTGCTGGATCTGGAGAATGAGCAGACAAAACAACAGGGTGTGGGGTGTGGGTAGTCTGGGGAGAGGACCTAGAAGGAGATGAGGGGGAAGTCATGAGCAAAGGTCCCAGACAGCCAAGTGGCAGGAAGTTGCTAAGCACACACCTGTCCTTGCTTGCTGAGGTGGCCATATTGCAGCATTGTAGGACTGGGGCAAAGGAGGTTGAGCCCACAGAGAGCGACACGGTCAGGAAGCTTCTGAAGAAAATTTAGGAGGAGGTGCTGATCATGTGAGCTCAGGCAGTGGTCTGGGAGCCAGAAGGAGGGCCTGGGCTCAAGGGATGCCGACAAGGAAAACTAGACAGAACTTGTCATTGGTTCAGTAAGAAGAGAGTGAGGAACAGGGAGGAGCTGAGAGCCCTTTCAGAGCCAATCTCCGAGACAAAGGTCAGGGGACAAGCAAAAGGGTGGGATAAATCCAGTTGTGAGCCCAATTTAGAGTAGGATCTCAGGCCATGGTACAGCTTAGGGAGGTGGTACCAGGTATTGGGGTCTACTGGATGATTCTGAACTGGGAATGGTTCTCTGTGGGTAGTTAAAACTCTCTGGTGGTGTAGCATGGGCTGAGAGCAGAGGCAGGGGCATCACCCAAGTAGAAGTGGCAGCTCTTTCCCAGTTTGAGCAGCAATACCTGAGAATTGGGAAGAGGCACTGACAGTTTCCAGAGATACAGAAAGACAGATGAACACTGAGACGATCCTGCTGGAGGTACACGCGATCTCACCGGTCCGGTTAAGTCACAGGAGGAGTAAAGAGTGAATGAAAGCTGAATGTCAAAAAGGAATGCAGACAATGTTTCAGAAAGTTGGCTAAGAAAGGAACATACGATGCTTGATGAAGGGACAACGCACAGGACAGGCCCAGATAGAGGGTCTACAGGCAGAGGAGGGGGCTGGGATTCTGTAGCGAGATGTGACTAGGCCAGGGCTCAGCCAGACATCTGGGGGTCCTCTTGTGTTTTAGAAATGCCCCTGACATTTTAGATCTTAGTCACACAAGTATAGAATAAGGGGCTAGGACTAGGAGGGGCCACCAGGACCAGCCAGTCAACCATCTATTGTATAGTGGAGTAAACTGAGGCTCAGAAAAGTTCAAAGAAGGGAAGGGGAATCTCAAATGAACCTTCATGGCAGAGGCAGGCCTGGTGTGGGAATATGCAGCCTGGCAGCTGCTGATGAACTCTAGTGTTCTTGATTTATCTGCTGGACCAGTTCCCAGGCTCTTCTGAAGCAGCTAGCTCCAAGGCTTAGCTACACAAAGTACTGCCTAGTGCACAACTCCAGGGGGAGCCACTCACAACGTGATCTCTGAATGATGGTCCCTGTTTTGTGCAACATGATGACCCCAGGGTGAGCACTTGTCAAGGGCTTCATGGAAGTACTCAGTACACATAAGTAAGGCAGGCGTCATACTACTAGACTAGGGTATATTTTTCAACTTGCCAGTTGCCTTCCCATTGGGAAATGAGTAGGCAGTGGATGGGATGGAAGGCTGCAAGGCAGCCTGCGTGAAAGAAACCACTCAGTCAAGCCAGCAGCGGGAGGAGGTGGCAATTGATAGGGACAGGAATGTTGATGGAGGGAAGACACAAAGACTGGGAGTCTCCTCGCACACAGTCTGGCAGCCTTGACTTTTCCTCCTCTCTCTTTCTCTCTCTTTTTTAATATCCTGTAGAGGAGTTTTCTTAGACACCATCCTCCCCCGTCGAGACGACAATGGCGTCAGGCCAACCATTGGCCAACGAGTGCGGCTCAGTCAGGGAGATATAGCTCAAGCCAGGAAGCTGTACAAATGCCCAGGTAACTGTGAGCCACGCGGATTCCCGGCATCTCCTAACACCCCATGATACACAATGCATGCTGTGTGCAAGCAACCCTGTTGCTTGCTGGATATGGGAACTGAAGGGGAACTGAAGAGACCACTCTGTGGTAGCTGTGGTTTCTCGTGTCTTTGCTCAGGAGTGTGCAGTACAGTGCAGAATGCTGAATTAGAGAGGCACATAGCAGGCTCAGAGCCCGTGGCCTGACTAGGGGGGCTTTTGAAGTCCCTTGGCAAAGCCCTGAGCACAGAGGGAAGAGGGGAGTGGAATGCCAGCACCGTGTGACCCTGTGATCTGTTGCTCTGAGAGCTCCTCTTCTTTCTAGGGAACCGGGGAATGTGAATATGTCAGAGGCAGAGCCAAGAGCTTCTGGCCAGAAGACAGAGAGTGAGAGAAATGCTTCGGGGGTGATAGGAGTCTAGTTCCAAATGCTACAGCCAGAGCAAATCTCGGTGCTGTGGCCTCAGGGTGGGTTACCAGCCATATGCTATCAAAGACCAGAGAGTATCTTAGGGTGAAGCAAAGGCTTGTCATGAGCTAGGGCCGCAGTCTCTTCTCCTCTGATTGGCCCTCTTTGCCTTTATCTCTATCCTGGTTTTATTTCTGTTGCTGTGATAAAATACATAGGAAAAAAAAAATCCATGTCAGAGAAGGGTTTATTTGGCTCAGAGTTTCAAGATCCAATCTATTATTGTGGGGAGGTCAAGACTGGAACTTAAATTGTCACAGTCATGTGCAGAGAGAGAATAAGTGTATGGATCCTGCATGCCGTCTTATGTAGCTTTCTCCTGTCTTATATAGCTTGGGACCTATGCCCTGCCTAGGGAATGATGACACCTACATTGGGCTGGGTCTTCCTACATCAGATGGCAATCAAGACAACCTCCCATAAACAAGCGTATAGGGCAATCTGGTCTAGATAATTCCTTGTCAGGACCCTTTGTTTTGTATCAAATGGACAGTTAAAACTAACCAGCTTTTGAGTCTTTTCATTCCATGTCACCCTGGGGTCAGTGCCCTAAGACACTTCTAAATCCATGCAAAGTATTGATTGTGGCAGCCAAGTTTGTGCCAGTGATGGTTCAGAATGAACTTTAGGAGCTTGGGGAGGACAGAAGGAAGTTCCATCACCAATGGCTCCAGTAGCCTTCTCCACATCCTTCAAATAAGATGTGTTTTGATTTGTGGTGGAATAGTTGAAACTGGGGCCATTGGAGAAAATGTAGGTTGTGATATTGCCTTACAACGCAGGATCATGGGGATGGCTGCATCCTTACGGAATGAGGAAATATTTTTATCCAGCCCTCAGTCATCCAGGGGCATTTGAGGGCTGAAATACAGGACACATGTATCATATAACCCTCTGAATGTAAAGGGAAACCTTACAGCATTCCCTGGGAAATGCCATAGTATTTATTTAGTTACACTGTGTATGCTGCTTATTTCCCCAAAGGCATCCCGGCAGCTGGTAAATATCCTGGAGCACACAGTAATGTATTTATTCTTGCAGAATGCTGATGATTATTCTAAAATAATTTCCATGGAACCCTCAGGGGTGCTGGCTTCTGGGAGTGAGCCTCACTATGCTTGGCAGTTGTTCTGTAATATGACACTGAGGCCCTGATAGCCAGGATTTCCTGAGGCAAATGATGGACAGCCCTCCACATGCCCTTTGCCATAGCTCCAGGAGCTGCAGAGGATGCCCCAAGGGGTCATTGCAAGTTAGGGCAGTGGCCAAGCAGAGGTGGGATCAAGAGTGGGAGGAAATGCTTAAAGGTGCTTATTCCCTGCACTGTGTGGGGGGACATCACTCAGCAAGCCACTGCCTTTGCATTTTGGGGGTGTCGATCCCTGGGGTTCAGGAAATACAAATGTCCTTTGCTTCCCAAGCTACAGGAATCCCTCTGTTTTCATTTCCCTTAAGGGCAAATTAGAGGAAGTAATTTTTTTTTCTCATGCAGGGTCTCTATTCTAGACACATTCATTACTGGGCACCCTTCAAAGACAAACAGACCCAAGAGCACACTTAGTCCATCCTGGTATAGCTGCCTGTACTCTTGCATTTCCTCTGCTTTCTTGTTTGTTTGGTAGCTCTCTCAGAGGTGGAGAGCAAAAAGAAAAGAATTTAAATAGGACATAAATGAGTTTCAGAACTTGTTTCCTTTTGGCTTTACTGACTTATACTCCTGTATTCTCCCTGCTACAGATGTTATTAATAGCAATTATGGAAGTTCCAGTGTGACTGGGAGATACGTAGCTCTTAGGGCACTTATCTAGCATGCCTGAGGCTCTGGGCTCAACCTCTCTCACAGATCAATTGGTAAATTAGTCAGACAATCTCAGTAACTCTCTGTGTGGCCAAGCCCCGAGTGGACCCAGTCCATGTGATACAGGCAATCTCACTGACCCCCTGAATTGGTTCAGCTCATGGCTGGAGAACTGAGATCTGAACCCAGATCAAGTCATACTGAGAGCCTTTGGCAGAAGCCCTGGGTGCTACTCCTTGGCATCAAGATCTACTTTTGCTTGCCCTGGCCAGAAAAATGACCATCTACTTGGCTCACTCTTCATCCATCATTCACAGGGCTTTGGCTTGGGAAAGGGCTTTTATTCCACAGGCCTGGGAAGGGGTAGCTCAGGGGTGGGTGTGGGGGTGAGGGAGCCTTGTGTATGCCTGTACCAGAGCTGTTGTTTTGTTTATGCAGCATGTGGGGAGACACTACAGGACACAACCGGAAACTTTTCGGCACCTGGTTTCCCAAATGGCTACCCCTCTTATTCCCACTGTGTCTGGAGGATCTCTGTCACCCCAGGGGAAAAGGTAGGTGAGAACAACGATCCTGATTGGATCATTGCATGCTGAACACACCCCTGGCTATGACACTGCACCCCATACACATGAATAGTGAACAGCATTTTTAAAAGGTGGGTTGGACCCCCATCAGGAACGGTGTGGCACTCTGGGTCGAGTGGGATAGGAGGACTCAGCCTTTGCATTGGTAATGACAGCAGCTCTTCTGAGTGCCCACCAAATGCCAGGGCCACCACGGCTTGCACTGCGTTCATTGTTTTAGGACTTCTCAGCCAATCTTACCCACACAAATGGGTGCACTAAATGTCCACATAGGTTATAAATCAAGCTACCTGTCAGACTAACCACAATCTGCCCTTTACCTAGGCTAACACACTGTTATGATACTCTAGAGGGCAAGCACACAATATAAAACTGCTTGACACCTTGGAGTGGTGCTTTGGTAGGTGCCGATGTGGCCAACACAGTTGGCTTCTCTTCTCTAGCCCTCTACTTCCCCCTGTGTTGACTGATGCCCCATCCACACTCCTGAGTATCATGCTTTCACTCCAGCTTTGCAACTCGCTGCTCTATGGCTGCCTTCTGTGGGGTGTCCAGACATGTGTCTGCTCTCAGATCCAGGAAGGAAGCCTTGACATGTCCTATAAGTGGACTCAGGGAATGCCAAGGCCTTGTGTCCCAGGAAAATGTTAGAGGCTTAGCAAGCCCTGTATTTACAAGTTCCTTTGGCTCTGAAGATCCCATGGCTGTCTGGAGCAGAGCTCAGGGTCAGGGCCTCTTCTCCTTGGTCCAAGGTGGATATGTTCTGCTACACTACAGGGTACCATTGTGTCCATTCTGTGGACAGGGAGAGGAATTGCCCAATCACATATTAAATAAAGAACTGCCTTTGAACTCTAAAGTCTATCTTTTCTTAAAAGACTTATCTTTTAATTTTGTGTGTATGTGTGAAGAAGTGTGTGTGTGTGTGTGTGTGTGTGTGTGTGTGTGTGTGTGTGCGCGTGCGCGTGTATACAGGTGTCCATGGAGACCAGAAGGGGGCTGGAGCTGATCCAGATCTCCTGAGTCCAGATCCCCTGGGGCTGGAGTTACAGGCAGTTGTCAGCCACCCAACATGAGTAGTGGGAGCTGAACTGAGGTCCTTTGCTAGAGCAGTACACACTCTTAACCACTGAGCCATCTCTCCAATTTTTACCTTTTTATTGTGTATTCTACAAATCCAGATATTCTTCAAGTTGTCTCAGACCAGATCAGCTCTCTTTCCTTGGGTCTAGGTGAGGGGATGTTCCTGTGTTCCCAGACTCCTCTAGAATCACACATGTCACAGCATGTTTCAGGATCATAACTACCGAGGTATTGTCCTGTTTATAGCCCTTAAGCACACTGAGGACAGAGATTTTCCACATCAGTTCCAGCATCCTACTTTATATGGCAATGCAGCCCAAGCTTCCCGTTTTGTATGGCTCAGCCATGGCACACGAGAGTTTGTGGAAAGTATATGTGGGTATATGAGGGTGGAGTGAAACCTGGGTAACTGGAGGCAGTTGGATACATTGGATATTTTTCCGGTGTTCATAGCCAGTCTGCAGATACTCTTAATTTATAACTTTAAGTATAATGTGAGAACCAGAGAGCAATGGCTAGGGTCAATTGAAAGCATTTTTTACAGACTGGATTCTTCCCACAGTAGCCTTATAGGTCACCTAATCGCATCTTACATCAACCCCACATGCTAGATGCTGACACTGCACTTATCAATAGAAAATTGGACTTACTCAAGATGAGTAAATTTGATGGAGAGTTGGGAAGGGAACACACACCATTGAGAGACTAAAAGCCTGAAGAGTGGACCATCATCCTGTTACACAAAGGAGACAGCTCACACACATACACATTTGCACACACACTTGTACTCTCACAATTAAGTATCAGGGCAATTCCAGGGCTTGGAAGACTGCACAGTGGGTAAGATAGTTTGCTGTGCAAGCAAGAGGACCTGAGTGCAAGTCTCTAGCAGCCCAACAAAGAGAGAGGGATGGCTATACATTCTTGTAACCCCAGCACTGGGGGACAGAGACAGGTAGATCCTGAGAGCTTGCTAGCAAGCCAGCTTAGCCAAGATAGCAACCTTCTTGATCAGTGAGAGATCGTGTCTCAAATGAATAAGGGTGACAGAGGAAGACAATGACACCTCCTCCACCCTGTGTGTGTGCAGATATATGCACTCACACACTTAGAGGCATGCCCCACCACACAAACAAACACAGTGTGGTTGTCATCTTGAACCTGACCGTTTGCCTTTTGCGTGGCTATGATCATGCCTGCTACAGGTGCTAACTAACAGGCAGGAAGAGGAGGAGGAGGAGGAGGAGGAGGAGGAGCAGCAGCAGGAGGAGGAGGAGCAGGAGGAGGAGGAGGAGGAGGCCTGGTCATTCCCACATTGTTGGATTGCTGCACAGCAGGCCTATGTGATATGTTTGAACCGTGTAAGCTTCACTAAGTCTCAATTTTCAGTGCTCACTGGGGGCACAGAGAATATGCATCATTGAAATTCCTGCAATTATTCCCATTTCTGCCTTGCCCGGCCTTCCCCAGAGCTGCTGGTAATTAGCAAACTCGACTGATTCCCGTATCACCTCTTGCTCATCACTTCTTCCCTGATGGTGTTTATAGTTCACTAACATACTTAAAATAATTAGCCTGAATAATTATCCCTCTCAGTTAGAGCATGAATGTGTTTCCAAGGAAGTTTTACTAACATTTCTTCACTGTAATCTTAAAAGAGCAAAGACTAAAGAATTCTGTGGGACCAGCTTCTATGCGTTCCTGTACCTCACCACCTGATCACCAGCATGGTGCAGATTTGAGAGAAACCCAGGGACACCCCAAACTTAAGATGCTACTCAGCTTGGGTTCCTTACTCCCTAGGACATGTCCATGACACTCATGTACCACATCTGTTATTTTCTGGTACTCACTCACTCTTCATTTCCTGGGGGACCGCTGGGCTCTGTGGAAGAATCTTCCTGGATGGGAATTGGCCCTAGGGAAAGGAGGGGCACTCTCAGTGATGATCAGGATAGAAAGAAAGCCTGTGGGGGTGGTGGGGTGCCAGAGCAGATTCAGTGTAATCTGGCTTGTATTTATGGAGTACTTGTTGTATGCCAGAAACAGCACTAGTCCCTCTGTGTACAGTTTCTCTCATGGACTCCTCCACAACCTGCTGGTGTGCATATTGTTTTCCAGATGAGAAAAAAAAAAGGTTCAGGAAGTCAACTATTTCCTTAGGATTCTAGAATCAGTGAGATGTCTGACTGAGACACCTCTGAAAGGGAGAGAGGATGGCGGGAGGACTCCTAAAGATCAAACATCAGGTGGTTCCATCTGAGCAAGGACTTGTGAGTGGGCATTTACCTGGGCCTGGGGTTCTGTAACTTCCAGAGAAGGGACAGGGCTTGCCTTGGAGAATCTAGAAAGAGCCCAACTTATGAGATAGGGGCATTTTTTTTTTTTTTTTTTTTTGGTTTTTCGAGACAGGGTTTCTCTGTGTAGCTTTGGAGCCTATCCTGGCACTCACTCTGGAAACCAGGCTAGCCTTGAACTCACAGAGATCTCTGCCTCCTGAGTGCTGGGATTAATGGCATGCGCCACCAATGCCCAGCTCACTGGGATTTCTTTAGTGATTCCCTAAGCATGGGTTGGGGTGGTTTGATAAATCTGAGATACAAGGTGTGGAAAACTAACCTAGAAGCTGTAGTTGTGGGTATTGTGGGAATCATCCCAACAGTAGCCTTAGGAAGGGACATCTAAGAAGAACAACGCAGTAACACACTGTAAGTGGTCAGCCCGTAAGAATAATGGGATGAATGAATGAGTGAATGAATGAATGAATGATGGATGGATGATTGGATGGATGGATGAATAGGTGGATGGATGGATGGATGCACTAACTTCAAGAAGGCTTTGGGAGACAACAGCACTTCAGAAATGGGAGGTCATGGCTGAGGGGATGTTGATCACAGCCATGCTCACATGCACTTGAGCTAACCCAGACCTTCCGAATGATTGATGATGTTACAAGATCTGTTCCTATCTCTGACCCTCATTGACCCCTTACCTCCTTCCAAATCCCTAGTCTCAACTCGCCCTGGACCATCTTTTAATGCATCTTACTTTCTGTAAACCACCTAGCAACTTCAAAAAGCTCAAGTGACTCCCCAGACAGAACTGAAGGACACATCTCCTTCTGTTTACTCCCCATCCTGCCTAAGGTTTATTATTTGATGTCAGGAGGTTTCCTGTGTGTGTTTGGAGAAGACGCTCCTACTGCGGTCTGAAGGCTCTGTATGCTAAGGGGTAACATGAGAACACCAGTGTGTAAGATGCATCCTTCAGAACTCTTCAGGCTTTGTTGTTCAAACCTACTTTATGGTAATTCTTTACAGATCATCCTAAATTTCACATCCATGGATTTGTTTAAGAGCCGGCTGTGCTGGTACGATTACGTGGAGGTCCGGGATGGTTACTGGAGAAAAGCCCCCCTGTTGGGTGAGTGGACTTCAGACAGCCTTAAGAGAAGAGAGGCCGGCTGTTCTCGGGGACGCTCTTACTATCTGGAAGGTTCCATTGTGGCAGCCAGCACAGGAAGTTCTCAAGTGCTCTCGTCGTCGTTGTAAAACTCTGAGCACTCCATTTGGCCACACATGTTAAAGGCTTTTAAAAACTGTCAGCACCCTGTGACCCAGCAATGCCACTTCTTGGAATTTCTCTTAGGGAACTAATTAAGGAAGTGTGTAAAGCTCTAGCTGCAGGGAGGTTCACTGGAGCGGGGAGAATCAAAGGCAATTTAAATGTTCAACAGTAGGGGTTAGCGGAGTAAATTGTGACACATCTTTTCAACAGAAAATTCCCATCCATTAAAAATAAAGTTGGAGGTGAGTGAGTATCAATACAGAGAGACTTTCTGGTGTCCTGAAACCTGCAAAAAGTATGTTACAGGATGCAGAAATAAATTGTAACATTAACTGCTATAACAGGCAGCGGTGAGCAGAATGGGATTGATATGATAAAATAAAGAGTCTAACTGTGCTGTCCCAAACTAAATCATTTAAACCATTGTGTGGGCTGAGTTCAACTGCAAGAAACCATTTTATGATTTACAATATAAATTTCAAATAAAGCCAGAGATGCAAATAACACACAGTGGTTATTTCAGAATGGAGGAGGATCTTTTAATGTTTCTGTTCTGTTCTTGGCTTACTTATCTCTCCCGGATTTTCTGATGGGCAGGTATTATTTCTGTGGCCTAGCCAGAGTTAGATTCATCCACCAAAGGCAGCTTGGACCTTTGAGTGAAAGGTCACAGGAAGACACTATAAAGAGAAAAGTTTTCACAAAATAGATCTCCTGATGATCATAGAGGATTAATATTGCCTGGAGGACCAGTGGTCTTGGATCTCAAGAGCCGAAGCTAGAACTCATTGGCCTGAGAAGGCCAGATACAATGGAGCTGTAGAGAGAAACAGACCAACAAAGAAGCAGATGAAAGAGTCACAGATGAGAATAGAGTATGCTCACTGCTGGGATGGTCTGTATGAGCAGGGTATCCTCACTGCTGGGGTGGTCTGTACGATGGCCTCCTGGCCTGGTCAAGGCTAAGGTTTGATGATGACTGGTCCCTGGCATTCCTTCATAGGAATGGGAAAACCACACTTGCTGCACTGCAAGTGATGCACCTGGGAAAGAGCTGTTGCCCGGAAGGTTGGCTGCAGATGGTGATGAGAAAGAAAGCCCTGATGTGTAGTTAGATCCTGGGGAACCAGGATGAGACAGTCACACTAGACAAGGACAGTCTCTAGGGAACCTATAGCCTTCTGCATGAGTAACATCAGCTGTTGTTTGGAATAGCTTGTGCAGCGCAGACACCTGTATCTAGTGGAAGGGTGAGTTGAAATCCCCAAGGGTACAAACAGGTGGGGATTTGTGTCCTCAGAAACTCCAAGGAACCAGGGAGGAGCCAGGGCAGGGTCTATGTGCCATCGTTAGGAGAGATCCATCATGTAGCTAATAGTCCAGACACACAAACCAAGGGTACCCTGCTCTTGGTATGCACGGAAATGTGGGTGTGGACACGTGACTATACTGCCCAAGACAGGGTAGAGCCTGCCTGCACTGGGTTCTGCTTCCTGCCTTAAATAAACAGGCATGGGAGTAGCAGTCAGAGATATAGGTCACAAGCAGCATTGGTCAGGTGTGCCAAAATGAC